AAATACATCGTCAAGAGTCCCACATTGTTTTCCATATATTCCTATTTGGTCACTAATATCTACATCACTAATGTCACGTCAGTACTTATTAGACAACATAATAACCATCAAATGTTAAGCTATTTGGTCATCCTCATAAACAACAGTATCGCATCAATAAATCAGAACTCAGGTTACTAGTTCTGTTGAGGTGAAGAAAAACATAATAGGAAGGAACAGGTGGCAACATTAATGGTATATTATCCATTGGAATTGACAATGTGAACTTGCTAGTCACAGTCGAATGCATACCATTTCAAATGACTTCACCATGTAGGGCCAATTTTTTTTCTCTGAACTAGCTGCAGAACCAAAAGCTGCTGCGGACAAATAAGGTGCATAGTTTCGCATGTTGTGGTCAGTATTGATGATAAGATATTGCTGCAATTGAGAGCATCGTGCTACAATATTGTTGATGTTGTTAACAATTCCTGCACATTGTTGGAGCAGACAAAAAAATCAAATATGATTATCATTTGACTATTGGATTTTAAGAAAACATGCTAGTGCAAAATCTCAGGCAAACTACATGATATGGATAACATTGACATATAAACTAATCTGGTCAGCAAGATATAAACCAGTGATAATTGTTGCCTATTCTAAATATATATTTATTCTAGAACATTCCACTATTGTTCTAAGGTAGTCAGTTGTACATGTCAGTGAAATCTACTCTGTTAGACTTCATGGTTGCAACTAACATGTATCTAGAAACCAATTTGCAGCCTTCCTTATGTTCTAATGAGAAGGGCCTTCAAATAAAATACTCCGTGCAGATATTTGGACAGTATCCCTCAATATCCAAGGCCTATAAACATTATCATTAAGTGTTATGATTCACTTTGTTAAAAGTTTATTTGCAAACAAATCATTAAACAACTATTTCCCGAATTACATGTATAGAAAAATAATTGTCTTTTAGGCCACTGATCATGTGAAAATAACAACTATGGTATTGTAGGTTGTAGCAACAACTTAGTTTCTGAAACAGGTCTAGGATCAAATATGTCATGAAGATCACTATGGTATACAGAGTTACATCAATGTTGCTTACAAAAAAAAAAAAAAAGGAAGAATTCAGATTTCAGATGAAAGTAGCTCAAATAAAAACCTGCAACTACGACTCATGAGTCATGAACATAAAGTTGTAAAAATTAAAGAGTGATTTTTCAAACAGCACCTTCACATAAAAGCTGGAAAAAGTGTTTCTGGCACAAAAGTCACCCGAGGTTGCTTAGTTTGAGTGAATAGGAATAACTTTAGAAATTGCAACAAATTGCAACCTATAAGAAAATACTGCTCCTTTTCAATTTTTATGAGCATGGATACTCTCTACTGCATCTAGTGCTCTGCGGCAACGCAGTTTCCGTGAAATCAATGACAGATAATTGTTGCGCAACATAGCTACTTCAACAATCATCTCCTTTTCTGAATCCTGAAATAAAACCAGGAAATGGGAATAAAGAAGCAGGAAGTGTGTTAAAAAAAGAAGTAGGAAGTGTGTAATTGATTACAAAGTTGAGTAAGAAATCAGTTCGAGAAAATTCTAATTGTAAATCCCACATTGTTTTCATTACAAATGTTGTTAGTATTTATATATTTTACACAAACACAACAAATCAATTGTGTGTTAAAAAAATGGACCAAAGACATGAGACTAAAAGGTTAAGCCTAAAGTGCTTCATATAAAAATTTGATTAATTAATTAAATATAAAAGTTAATAATAAAAAATTAATAATTTATTTATTTATTAATGAAAATTATATTAATAAATTAATTATCATAATTAATAATTAAAGTCTCAAATTAATTTTAAAATGACTTGGCATTGCCACATCATCTTGGATAGCGCCACATCATTAAAAAAATATTTCAAATTGGAGAGGGGACTAAAATCAAACTCAAAATTTAAAAAAGATACCAAAATGGTGGTTTTTAAAATGAAAGGATCAAAACCCAACAAAATAGAAAATAAGGAGACCATAATTACAATTAAGCCAATTTTTTTTCTTCCAAGGCGATTAGAGCGATTAGAATAAGGAACGGAGGTAGTATCAAAAAGAAGTTCTCAGTTCACGAAGGATAAAAAGGTCCAAAGGAAATAGTAAACTACTTTTGTGTTTTTAAACTAATCCGTGACATCCACAAACATTACAATATTTGCAAATTGAAATGCAAGCCGTGTTATAAATATGTTTTCTCTATCTATTTACTTGAATTTCTTAATTTTTTGCCTCACGTGGGATTAATATTTTCTTACATTAAATATTTAAGAAATATTATTACAGAACGTGTACTATGATAAAATAATTACTGAGGTATTCAACTGTGGATTGCTGTTCCCACAGGGAAGACAATTACTAGCTTGCAAAGGGGTACTCTGTTGATTGCTGTACCCACAAGGAAGAGAACTACTAGCTCGCAAAGGGGGCAGGTTCAGAAAGAGAACAGGGTGTACTATCTTTCTTCGGAGTTGAATTTGCTCCAAGCATCCTGAAAAAAAAAAAGACAAAATAATGCTTAAATGAGAGGCAAATGATAATGGCTAATAAATAGATGTTGGATGTTCAACAACACTGTTTTATCATCTGATAAAATGGTTACAGAATACTGATGCAATAGGATTCATATTCAAAGTACACGAGCGCACAAAAATGAGTGGTATTTGTATCTATTAACTTCGTCAGAATGCAAAGAATGAGAACAGACTTAATCTGCCCAATATCCACAAAATGTATTATTATATTTTATAATTAGGTTTTAAAAGTTCTCTTAATATTTTTTATTTGAGTTGAATGTTATATTTTTAGACAATGTTCCTTGTTTTGTTGATATGTCATAGTTAATCAAAGAGATATTGAATAGACCAACATGCTAAATATAAGAAGCAAATAACAAATCCCTGATGAACTAGCATTTATCATTCAAGCTTGGATAGGAGGTTAGTAAAATGTAGATTAGCATGTGCCTATGTGCCTCTGTTACAGCATAGTTTCATATACTGATATAATATGTTTGTGATCGTGTGCACCTGACAGATTTCAAGTTCTGCAAAAGCATTATGGTTTGCTTTGCTGCAGGAAAACTTACACATCTATGATATAAAATAGTACCACAGCCAAATTGCATATGCACTTTGGTTAAAATAGAAAATTACAAATATAGCATGCCAAACAAACCTTTAAGAGATCAAAGACTTTTTCACATATGTATTTGTGTTGAATACTTGCTCCACGTTGCTGTAACTTGTCGGGATGGACGCAAAGGGTGGCCTTCCTGTAAGCTTTCTTTGCCGCAGCAGAAGTAATTACCTCCGTGAGTGGGATTGGCTGCCACCCACTATCAGGTCCAAGGATCTGACAGTACAAAAATTAAAAAAGAAGCCATGTATTACATGTAGTCTTCCCTTAACTGTTATTCATGATAAACACCAACAATGGTCTCAAACAGGAAAAAAAAATGAGGACAGGAGGGAGTAGTGAATATCAGGAAACGGGATTGCCCAATTGATTAAAATTCATCCATTCAAGACTCTTACTGGACCTTTAAATGTCACTCCCTACTTTGTAAGCATAAAAGGTTGGGGTATGCGAAGAGACGAGAAGCATATGCGAAGTTATTTCAAAATTTCAGCATAGGAACACATACATATTGCAAGGTTGAAAGCAATGCCCGCAGGTTTCCTTCTTTTCCACTTGACCACCTTCTGACTTCAGTATCCAGAGTCTCCGCTAATCTCTGCTAAGAGTATCAGATTCAACAATCAGTGAAACATGGACAATAATTCAGAACCTTAAAAGAACAAATGCATAGATGGTTACACTTCTCTCTGCTTGCTCCTTCTGAGCTAGAAGGTCACGCATGTTTTTTTCTTCCAAAGCTTTTGCCTAATAATATTTCCGTAAAACTCATGGTTATGATCATTTTATTACAAGTACAATTTGCATGCCACTAATATCACAAGATTATGAATCTTACTGCACGATCTTCTGTTCGACGACACCTCTCCAGTCTAGCTCTACACCTCTGAGCTGACTCACCTTCAGATCTCTCAGAAAAAGAAGCGGCTTAAAACAAAGACAATATCTGGTCAGTACTGTGTCTGTATCAGGTGGATGCAGTAAAACGTTCATTAACAGTATATAATATAGTACTGCAAAGGTGTTTACAGATCACATACCACCATAAATTGAATATGGATGTCTGGAACCAGGGGCAGAGCTGATGTTGTGAAACTGTGGATCAGGTATATCCTGCAATTCCGTTCATTAGAAATTCAGGCAATTGTGCAATTTAATCACTTGCAGATTTATGACGATACTTACAGATGATGAGGAGCCCATTCTTCCATCATTTCTGGACGAAACGCTAAATTTATCAGATACAGATCTATCTAATCGTTCTCTGGACCCAAATACAGCTCTCTCAACCCTTACTTTTTCCATTGCACGCTCTCGAGCCTCTGCAGTTGCTCTTTCAACAGCAGCACGTTCTGCCTTCAATCTGGCTTCTGCATTTGCTTTATCCGCATACGATTTGTCTCTAGCCTCAGCGCAGGCCTTTTCAAGTCTTTCCCTGGCCTCAGTCAGTGCTCTTTGTCGAGCCTCAGCTGTTGCTCTATCAAATGCAGCCCTTTCTGCTCTTTCGCGGGCTTCAGCATATGCTCTATCACGGGCTTCAAAAGTTGCTCTATCAACAGCCGTCCTATCTTTTTCTCTTTCCCTTTCTCTCTCAGCCTCCAGCATTGCTCTGTCAACAGCCATTCTATCTTTCTGCCTTTCCCTTTCTCTCTCCACCTCTTCTATCTTTCTTAGGCGTTCTTTTTCTAATTCTCTTTCTATTCTCAGTTTTTCGGCACCTTTTTCTACTGAGGCAGGAGTTTCATTAAGACACTTCTCTTTGATTTGTGAGGAATGGGCTATATGAGACCTTTGGGAAGTGTTGTGGACATCTACTGCTTCTTGAACTGCAGCAGGTTTATCCACTATTGTGCTCCTTTTGTAATCATTACATGTGTTTACTTGGCTTGACGACTTCAGGTTCCTACTTCCTTCCTGGTTTGGTGCAACATTCACATGATGTTTAATTGTTTTGCTTTCGCCCCATTCATGAGCAATTTTCATCTCTTGATTTCTAGAATCAAATTCCATTTGAGGGACTGTTTTAGCTTTCTCAGTGCACACATGTTCACTACTAAAACAAAGTTCATTGGTGTGCCTCATGCTACAATCTACCTTTCCTGGTTGTGTTCCAGAAACCTCTCCTTTTCCATGGGACATTTCAAAAGAAGTTATTTTCTCGCCAGCTATTATTTTTTCTACCCCTACCTCTTCCAATTTCCTTCCACCAATTTCACAGTCAGTTCTGGCTTCTCCAATTTCATGATCCGCGACAGGTTCTAAAGATACCCCCAGTTTTCCAATATTTTCTTCATGAAGGGTGGATGAATGCGCAGCCAGATGATTTTTGCCATGCTGTGCTTTCCATTTCTCATTGGTTTCTTTAGCAAATTCCTTGCTCATACATTCTCTATTCACTTCCATTTGCTCCAAGGCTATATCAAACCCATCATCTTTTTCAATCCTACCAGGATCTTCAAGTATCTTCTCAAATTGCTTGGAGTGACTATTCTCATTTGATATACCTAAAGGTGCTTCCCTGTCAGATATTTGGTTTGAAATACTCTCAGTTTCTTGTTTCATCTGAGCCTCATTTCCACTTCGTCTTTCTAGCTCTATAGCTTGTTTCCGAACATTCGAAGTCCCTTCGCTCTCACTTGTTTCTTCAAGTCTATTTGATTTTCCATATTCATTAGAAACCAGTTTGAATTTTTCTTTACTTTGATCTTCTACACATGCTTCATTTGTCCTGCGCTCAAATGCCACTTCAGTTTTTGTCTTCAAACCTGATTCAAAGTCTTCTTCACTGAGCCCTGTTTCATTCACTACCCACCCATGAGCAGGCTTTGGGCCTTCACTACTTCCTTTGTTTTTAAAAGAATCTTTTTGGCTTTCTTGGAGTCCACTTCTGTTCTCTATATGTTGTTCATTATCCCTAGTGCAAGTTACATTCTCTTCTGGCCTATCCAGCTTAATAGCTTGATTTGACCTTCCTTTAATTTTCTCAAGCTCCTCAGAATCTTTGACACTTTCCTCACCCTCTGCTGCTTCAGGAGCAAAAGCTTCTCTTTGAATTGTTTCATTTTCTTTCATTATTTGAGAGTGCTTGTGGTTTTTCACACCCAAATGCTGCTCTCCATTCTGTTTTAGTTTCTTCTCATTTTCTTTAAGCTTCAAGTTAAACTGAACTTCACTTGGTTCTTGTCCATCAACCTCTTTTGATGTCTCACTTTCCACTTGATTAGCTTTAGTTGCTTTCTTCTCGGTTTTTCCATGTTGACTAGTCGTTCTTATCTTCTCACTCTTCTCGAGCTTAAAAATTTCAGCAATTTCGTCATTCTTCGCAGGCTCTCTCTGTCTGCATTCCACACTAGATGATTTAGATCTCCTAATGTTTTTTACCTGTTCATAAGCCCCTCTTTCTGCTTTAGATTTCTTCTTGTATTCGTCAGGCTCATAAATTTCTAAACTTGCTTTTACCTTTTGGTATTCTTCTTGGATATTAGATGCTTCTCCTTCTTTCCTCCAATGCTCAAATGTTCTGGCATCTTGCACCAAACACTTAGGATGATTTATGGGATGAACTACCTTTTGAGATTCTTCTGTTCCCACCAATTCAATAAACTCAGTTGCTTCTTTCCATGTCCCAACTCCAATACTTTGATCTGATTCTTGAGATGGCCTGGATTCCTTCATGTGCTTTTCCTCGAACAAGTTTAAATGTTTTTTCCCTTCTAATGGTTCTGGAATTACTGGAGCGGCCTTCCTAGCTTTCTGCCTTTCATCTGTGGCAGAAATTTTTATTTTGCCAGATCTTCGATCACAAGTAGCCAGCACTCTCTCATCATTCAAACTATTAAATCTAGTTATATTCTCACTCGTCTCTGTTTCCTTTGTTTTTAAATCAAAAGTTGATTTTATGCTGCTTTCAGAACCCCTCTTCTTTCTCCCCTTCAAATCTTTTACAGTCCTAACTTTTGCTTCTGATCTGTCTGTGGCTTCTTTCACAACAGACGCAGACGAATTAATATCAACCTCCACGTCAAAGAAAGGTGGTGAACCATCACCTAAAGTATCTTCAGAATCAATCCGCTCACTGTTGGAATGAGATTCACTAGTGTATCCCTTGCTTGGATCTAATAAAGGTGGTGGCCGGCAAGGAGGTGGCAATTGAGATGGTATGGTTCTGAGGCTGACGTCAGAAACGGTTATGAACATCTCACTAGAATGAGAAACATTTCTGTCGTATCCATCATGCAGGTCAAGATCACAACAGAGAATCTGTTCACCAGAAGTAACATTACAGGGACGCGACATCATTTTCTTATGATGGTTTCTCTTTCCCCTGCCTGCACTAAATTCCATATCAAGGTCAATGTCATCCACAACCTGCAAGGATGGATCAGTCCTATGAAATAGTGTGGTTTCATCAACTACATGTGTGACACCAGGAACAGCATGCATCTGAGTTATGTGAGTTTTCCCCTTTGACATATCTTCATTGCTCGTACCATTGACCTTATGAAACGAAATGTTGAACTCTGTATTTCCATCAACGGACTGGAAGAGACCACCACTTGATACACCTACATTATTTCCAAAACGGTCCAAGTCTCCCGAAAACGAATCGGTTTCTACTGAAGTCCTACAAATGATGGAAGAATACGATTATATAATTGCAATTAACAACTTCCAATTCCAATTCCAGTAGATTAAAATAAATTTTAACAAAAAAAACATAGACAAGAGACGCACTAATCTAGTCATCGTGTCAAAAATAAATTGAGAGCAAAGAAAAACAAAAGATTTAAAAGAATAACATAACAAAGAAATTTTACTCGCGATATAGATTATACAAGTGTCATAAATATAAATAGTAATTCAATAAGTTCACTAGTTAATCTACAAACCGATAATCCCCGTCTCGGGGATTAAAAAACAATGTGGCCTCTTCCACTTTTCAGTAAAGAACAACAAAATTTATCATGGAAATAGGTCATTGAGTAGAACTTAAACTAAGCCCTTCATGAAATAAGCAGATAACCATAAGTCCTTAACCACACACCATCTTTCACAATGTATTACTTCTCATGAACGGTAAGCTTCGTCACAATTAACTTAAACAACTCAACCTCAAGGACGAAGCTAAAATCAAGGACTATAATAATTATCTACAACTAGAATCAAAACAACACTTGATAAGAGTTTCCAATTCGCTTTAACATAACCGTTATGCATTTCATCACAAAACTCCGAATCAAACGGCAACATTAAGACCTCGATCTAATTCATACTTACCAGGCTTCTTCTTCTTCTTTTTCTTCTTCATCATAGTCACCATAACGAAACAAGTCCTCATGCGAACACCAAAAGTCTAGTCCGCCGGAGCCTCCAAAGACCTCAGCATAGTCAAAAGCATTACGACGGAAGTCGAAGAAGACCTCGCCGGCGTCAACCTCCGGAAGATCCAAAACCGGAATGGAGGATGAGCGAGCAGCGTGGAAGCTCGAGAATATCTCGCCGTAGTCTTCGAAGCGGGGCGAGATAGAGGAGGCGGTGAACTTCGGTGGACCACCGTAAACGTCGTCGTATAGAGTTTTGGTAGATGAGAAAGTACCGTTGGAGATTTTCTTGGGTAGCGTGACAGATACCTTATTCGGTTGGCGAGAATGCGTTACACTTTCCATGGAAATGTTGGTATCTACTCTCTACGGAGCTTCTAGGGTTCTACTTTCTCTCTCCTCTCTTTCTCTCTCTTGTTTGTTATGGCTCTTTGGGTGTGAGTGCAGACACTACTGTGAAAGCGTCAGAGGACGACGAATGAAGAAAAAATTAGTGAAGAAATTGAAAATGAAAAAGAAAAGGTGGTAGTGAAGACGGAGGAAATTACCAAATTGGGCTTACGTTTTTTTTTTGTTTTTCTCCAACAATTTTATATTTTAAATTATAAACTTGATGCGAACATCGACAGCAATTCTTTTTTCCTGCTTTTTTTTCTCTTTTGAAAGTCGTGCTAGCCAATATATAAATTTTAAAAATATTTAATTTTAAATATAATTTTTGTCTCTTTATAACTCAATTTATAATACAAAAGCACGTTCTAATATTTCTAAGGACACAAATTAGCCGTTTTTTTTATTTGTAGCGGCTCTTTTATTTTTATTTGTATTAATATTACTATTATTGTTAGAATGAAAAGGAGTATGCGGTGACGACGCGGGAAAGATAAAGAGTTGTTGGGGGCAGCGTCAACGAGACGGAGACATCCTTGCCACTTTTTAACGCATGAATATATAATACTGCTGTTTTTTACATATATTAATTTAAAACACATACATTTCTTTACTGAATTTGAATTACTAACTGTTTTTGAAAAAGAGAGGAAAAAAAAACAGTATGGTTCTATTTTTTATTTTCTTATGACATTTCCTTGATATATAAATAATTTTTATTAGTGTTTTTTTAAGTAATATTTAAAATAGTTTTTGATCATGTAGCTTTTATCTTCTCATTTTGTTTTTTACATTATTTTAATATTTTAACTAAAATTTAATTTTATTCTTCATAAATTATTATAATTTAAAATAAAATAGCGTTATGTGTTAGTCAAACGTTCAATTATACGATGTCCTCTTATCCAACTCACTTCATTGAACCCGAAATATAAATATATTTATAAAAGGTTTTTTAAGTACACAATATATAATCTTTATTTTTACTATAATTATTCGAACTATAAACTCACCTGTGCATTAGAGTGTTAACCATGTAGGTACTTAGAGTTGGCAAAACGGGTCATCCGGTCCGTGACGGGTTCGGATTTTGTTCGGGTCGGGCTAAAAAGTCTGGATTATAAACGGACTACAATTTGATTGATTAAGTTCGGCCCTTCACGGGCTACGGTTTTTCGGGCCGGCCTGGTTTATATTTATGATTTTGTTTTTTTTTAAATTAAAAAGTGAGTGTTTTATTTAAAAAATAATATAATACTATTAGTATATTGTACACGTCATACTTTAGTTTTATCATAACGTCAAATTACAACAGTATGACATTTCACATAGAAAATGCATCAGTATGACATTTCATTTCACTTAGAAAATGATAATAATATTGTACATACCAAAATATAACTTATAACATTTCCCTTGGTGCATTGTTTGTCTTTTTTCATTTGAACAAAGATTCAAAACAAAGTAAAATTTTCAATGATAACATTAAGTTTTACAAATTAAATTAACAATAAGGTCTAAAATTCATTAAAAAAAACTAAGCGGACTACCCACTACTCGATCGGGCTAGCCCGGTTAAACATCGGGCTTTTAACGGTTCGGGTTTAAAAGCCCGGATAATAAATGGGCCTTATTTTTTTTGTTCAAGTCTGAATTTTTTGGTGGGCTTTTGGGCCGGCCCGATTGATCCGACCCATTTTTCGGCTCTACAAGTACTCCTCTTTAATATGTCATATCGGAGATTAGTGACACCGGTCGGTATCTACCTTTGATCATTGTCCAACACTCTAGTTAGACAGATTCACAAAACGAGCTTTCGGGTTGTGTTTGATAAGAGAATGAACAAACCAAAATATCTTTGGTCTCAGTTGAACAACCGAACACATTGGACATCCCAAAAATACAGAGTACAAAAGTTAAAGATCTTGTGGACATCAATCAATCAAAGGTTGGGGAGCAAAACTGGCCATCAGAGACCGGAGATCCAGTCCTCTAAATCTGACAATCAAACCATCTGAACAACACATTCAAAGACGAACAACCGATCTCTCTCTCATTCAACTAAACTATCAATTATTAATTATTATTTATTTACTTTAAGAATACATATTTAAAAAATCACAAATAAAAAATTTATACTCAAAATAAAAAATAAAAATATTAATGATAAATTTTTCAAAATACTTTTTTTATATTTAACTTGTGCTTTGTAGCAAAAGTTAACATTAGTTAATAATACACTATTCATTTTCAACTATAAATTATTAATTATAAATCATAATTATAATCTGACTATAAACCAACTCACAGGCTTTCCGCTATTTTTTTTGTTTATTAAAAACAGTTTAATAATGCTTCTTATGTTACAGTAGACACTAAAAAAGAACTTCAAACGGTAATTTTTGAAAAATTAGTTTGATTAAAAAAACTTTAAAATGATAATGAAATGGCACTCTGATTAAAAGTGAATCGAGTTACTTTCATTTGAAGCTACCAACAGGATTTTAAAATCTTCACCAATCGATTGCAATTATTGTAAGACGGTGTCTGTTCACTTTTGCTCATAAAATTATTTGCACATCTGGATTTATATTAATAAAAAATATTGAAATATATTATTCTGTATTATGGTTTCGAAAATTTCAAAAATTAATATTTAAATTTTTGAATGATGTTCAACTAAGTATTTTTATCATCTTCATATTTTATGAGTTAATCAAAAGTAAATAAACTTATTAATATGTTTTTAAAAATTGAGACATAAAAAGTTCCATATTTAATTATTAAAGAATTAAAAAACCGGCCCAAATAAGCATTTATTAACATCTTCGTGATTCATTAAATAAAGCAAATGAAATTTAACATAATTTTGGTGGTAGGAATGAAATGAGGGATGCTATGAAACAAAACCAAGGCCGCAACACTTTTGTTTGAAAGGACAGAGACAAAATAAGGCGACGCAGTGATACAACGTAAGAGCGGGATTTCCTGCATCTAACTAAAAACGATATTCGGTATGTACTAAATTAACCTTTCAATTTACTAAATAAAGAAAACAAATGTTTGTTTAATTCATATATACTCACCGTATAAAAAAAATTTATATTGTCAATTAATTATAATTAAAAAAAATTTATTGAATTTTTTTTAATAAGATTTAAAGTATCACTTATGAATGGTTATGATATATTGACGGTGTAAAACTTTTTACATTAACAATACTTACAAATTAATTTCTATATATAAATTTGCATTGAGTACAATAATGGTGACCTTGCTTGCGATAAGTTAAGGGATCTTTAGAAGTTTGATATGTGAAGAAAAAAATAATGTTTTGATTTAATCATATGGATAGGTGATTATAGCTTCAACTCTCTATTGAAGAATGTCAGACTCTTTACTTATAGTATCAGCCACGCTCAACTTGACTCTAACCCATTGAGGAGCGTGGTGGGTGACTTATCCTTCCATTATAGGAGATATGGTTAACCAACTATTTGATTATGTCAAGGATATTCTTGTTAGCACTACGTCAGAAATGAGTTTTAGCAGCGCACCCTTTAACAGCGCTTTTTAAAAAGCGCTGCTAAAGGGTGGGCAAAAAAAAAAGAAAAAAAATTTCCCACCTAAGACAGCGCTTTTGAAAAAGCGCTGCTAAAGGGGGCCCTAAGAAAGCGCTTTTTAAAAAGCGCTGCTAAAGGGGGACCTAAGAAAGCGCTTTTAAAAAGCGCTGCTAAAGGTGTCCCCCTTTAGCAGCGTTTATTCTATAAAGCGCTGCTATATGGCATTGCTAAGGCACCCTAAGGAAACGCTTTTAAAAGCGCTGCTAAAGGCATTTAAAAGCGCTGCTACAGGGGGACCTAGAGGGGGACATAAGAAAACGCTTTTAAAAAGCGCTGCTAAAGGGGGCCCTTTAGCAGCGCTTTTTCTATAAAGCGCTGCTATATGGCATTGCTAAGGCACCCTAAGAAAGCGCTTTTAAAAGCGCTGCTAAAGGCCTTTAAAAGCGCTATTATAGGTATTAGTATTATAATTTTTAAATACCCTCCAGAATTTTAAGAGAAACAGAACAGTCGCGTACATTTCTTTTCTTCTGTCTTTCTCCTCTGTCGAACGAACTTGCCCTATTCAAGTGCCGTCATCCGCCGTCCGACCGTCGCCCGCCGTCCGTTCACCGTCCGTTCTCCGTCCGTTTTCGAGTGCATCCGTCCGTCTGCATTGCATTTCCACCATTGTTAAGGTATGTGACAGTTTCAAGGGATTTTCTTGTTTTTTTTCTTTTCACCATTGTTGGTATCTGAAGACATTAAAAGTTTTGAAGGTTTTTGTTAATACTGTTATCTAAATATTGATGGTTTTTCTTTTCACTATTGTTGGTATTTGATGGTTTTTCTAAATATTTGTTTTCACCATTGTTGGTATACTATTGTTTTTGTTGTTGGTATACTATTGTTTTTGTTGTTGGTATACTATTGTTTTTGTTATCTAAATATTGATGGTTTTTCTTTTCACCATTGTTGGTATACTATTGTTTTTGTTGTTGTGTAGATATGTTTCTTTTAAGGACATGCAAGTAAATTTTAGTGTTGATAACGTATACTGTTGTTGAGTAATTATTTTTGTTGTTGCGTTCAAGTATGATACGTATATTGTTGTTTTGTATTGAAGGTTTGAGGACATGCATGCAAGTAAATTTTAGTGTTGTTGTTGTGTAGAAATGACTTATTGAAGGTTTAGTGAAGGTTTTATATGTTGATATGTTATTATGTTATTATGATGGATTTCTCAATGTTTATATGATATATATGTTATTATGGTTTTATATGTTTAGTTAGGATTTCTCAATGTTTAGTAAGGGTGTCATTTTGGTTTAAGGATTATCTAGTAATTTTAATATGATTTGTTTTGGTGGATTATCTAGTATTTTTAATATGATTTGTCTTGGTTAATTATTA